TATATATTATATATATATAATATATATATTATATATTACTGATTCTCGTTTTTAATCCGTTTCATGAAAGTAGATTGATAAAATTTATTTTTTTTTCAATTCTTTTCACTACAAATTAGATTTAAATTAGTGCCTGCTAGCAGCCAAAAAAACGCTGTTTGAACAAAAACTATACAAAAAATAGTTTTCCAAAGAAGTAGCATAGGATACTGCTCAAAAAACGAATAAAATACTCCGTAACTGTAATTGTATATATATATATAGTATATATATATATATATATATAATTATATATATATTGTAATTAAAGAATTGAAAAAAAATAGTTTTATCAATATTATTTTCATTAAACCGATTAACTAGAAATCAGTACCAAAGTCTCCACATATCAAGCTGTATAAGAAAAAAACAGTTTGACTTTGCTAGAAATAAACGCCTCCGTGCGTATAAAGTGTTTTGGCAAAAATGCCAAAATTTTTATACATGTCCACTTTAATGTTACCGACAGTATATACTTGGTGGATTCCAATGGAAGCGCTCGGCTATTAATGCCCAATCTGCTAATATAAGAATCTATCTCAAGTAATGTAATGGAAAATAGAACTGGACAATTACCTTCCAAAGCTGGTTCTGCAGCTCTTTCTGGCCTCTGCAGTGGACACTAAATGTAAAGAAGTGTGAATGTATCTCATCTATATATTGTAATCGCGTATAAATGCTGTTTATTCAAGATCTGTTAATTGTAAATTTCCTAACGTAGGGCAATTATTGGTTGATGATCTCCGCTGAGCGCGTGCGAAAGCGTTATACTCACAAGCTCCAGTGTTGATTGATATTGTTTATCAATATCTGAAACCTCTCTCTCAGACGAATTACTCAGAAGACCTACCGGACTCTTTTTACCATTTCATTCATGATCTATATTGAGGTAAGTTTTTCAAAATTCACATTCTGATGCAATACTCTCATTCGCGTATTGTAGAATTTCCAGTGGTCACTCATGGATAAGCTTTTATTCGAATTCTTTAATTATCTTTTTTCTTTTAAATCTCTAACCAGACATCTTATGCTTATCGCCTTGGTTTGCGTTGCGAAAGATAATAGCCACTGAAGCACTATGACCATGTCTTCTAGCACTTCGCCATCTGTTCACTTAAATACGCGTTGTTTATTTAGAGTGGGACG